AAAAAAACGTCCGAAAATGGAAACAAAAAGATCAAAAGGTGGAGCAAAAGATCAGAAAATGACTAATAATACCAATAATTCAATAGAAAATTAGCTAAATATTTGACAAAAGATCAGAAAAAGGGAAAGGATTAGCATGAAAATGATAAAAGACGACAGAAAAGAGCAGAAATGGACACAAAAAGATCAAAAGGTGGAACAAAAGATCCAAAATTGACTAATAACACCAATAATTCATTAGAAAATGAGCTAAATATTTGACAAAAGATCAGAAAAAGGGGGACAAAATAGCATAAAATGACAAAAAGCATAAATGGACACAAAAAGATCAAAAGGTAGAACAAAAGATGAGAAATTGACTGATAACACCAATAATTCATTAGAAAATGAGCTAAATACTTGACAAAAGTTTAGAAAAAGGGGGGAAATTTTGCATAAAATATGAGAGAAAAGAGCAGAAATGGACACAAAAAGATCAAAAGGTGGAACAAAAGATCAGAAATTGACTAATAACACCAATAATTCATTAGAAAATGAACTAAATATTTGACAAAAGTTTAGAAAATGAGGGGGATAAATTGCATAAAATGATAAAAGATGACAGAAAAGATCAGAAACGGACACAAAACGTCCAAGAATGGACACAAAATAATGAAAAGGTGGAGAAAAAGAGCAGAAAATGACAAAAAAACGTCCGAAAATGGAAACAAAAAGATTAAAAGGTGGAACAATAAGATCAGAAAATGACTAATAACACCAATAATTGAATAGAAAATTAGCTAAATATTTGACAAAAGATCAGAAAAAGGGAAATAATTGGCATAAGATGATAAAGACGACAGAAAAGATCAGAAACGGACACAAAGATCAAAAGGTGGAACAAAAGATCAGAAAATGACTAATAACACCAATAATTCATGAGAAAATGAACTAAATATTTGACAAAAGATCAGAAAAAGGGGGAACATTTTGCATAAAATATGAGAGAAAAGAGCAGAAATGGACACAAAAAGATCAAAAGGTGGAACAAAAGATCAGAAATTGAGTAATAACACCAATACTTCATGAGAAAATGAGCTAAATATTTGACAAAAGATCAGAAAATGGGAAATAATTGGCATAAAAATGATAAAAAACGACAGAAAAGAGCAGAAACGGACACAAAGATCAAAAGGTGGAGCAAAAGATCAGAAATTGACTAATACCAATAATTCATTAGAAAATTAGCTAAATATTTGACAAAAGTTTAGAAAATGAGGGGAAAAATTGCATAAAATGAGAGAAAAGAGTTGAAACAGACGCATAACGTCCAAGAATGGACACAAAATTATCAAAAGGTGGAGAGAAATCGCAGAAAATGATCAAAAATTGACTACTAACACCAATAATTCATTAGAAAATGAGCTAAATATTTGACAAAAGATCAGAAAAAGGGAAAAAAAATTGATAAGATGACAAAAAGCAGAAATGGACACAAAAAGATCAAAAGGTGGAGCAAAAGATCAGAAATTGAGTAATAACACCAATAATTAAATAAAAAACTAAATATTTGACAAAAGGTCAGAAAAAGGGGGGAAAAAAATTGCATAAAATGATAAAAGATGACAGAAAAAAGCAGAAACAGACACAAAACGTCCAGGAATGGACAGAAAATGATCAAAAGGTGGAGAGAAAGAGCAGAAAATGATCAGAAATAGACTAATATCACCAATAATTGAATAGAAAATTAAATAAATATTGAACAGAAGATTAGAAAAAAGGGAAAAAATTTGCATAAAAATGATAAGACAACAGAAAAGAGCAAAAACGGACAAACTGTCCATGAATGAACACAAAATGATCAAAAGGTGGAGAGAAAGAGCAGAAAAAGGGACAAACTGATTTTAAATGACTAAAGACGACAAGAAATGGACCAGAAATGGAAATAAAACGACCAAAGGCTGGAGCAAAAGAGCAGAAAATGACACAAAACGTCCAAGAATGGACACAAAATTATCAAAAGGTGGAGAGAAAGAGCAGGAAAATGGAAAAATTGGTTTAAAAGATATTAAAAAAAAGACACAAAACTAAAAAAAGATCCATAAAAGACCAGTAAAGGATCAGAAATATGCTAAAAACACCAATAATTAGATAAAAAAAGCACCTAAATAATCAATCAACAAAAAACTGATAAAAAAAAAGATAAAACAGAAATAAAACTTAAAAAATGGACACAAAAAGACCAAAAAGCAGATTTAAACTGGAGATATTTCCACTTTCAGCCTTTTTACCGACATGAACATCCTGGAAAAAGCCTCCACAGTTTGTCTTTAACTCACTGGTTAAAATAGTCACAAATATGCAGAATTATTCATTAATTGAGTTCAAATCGGAGCTTTTCTGCTTTCTTGGTGCTTCTAATCCTCATTTTGTCCTGAAATGGTGACAAAATAATCAGATTTTTCTAATTCCTGAAAACGATTCCTTAAAATAGAAGAATTAAATCTATTTTTAATCCATCTAAGCCTCTAAATTTTCATCTTTTAAGACGCCCATCATGATTTTTCTGCTCAGAACTGTAATTAAAGACGTC